AAGACCTTGGAGTATTTTTGCTAAAGGGCAACAACAAAGAGAATGTGAATAGATTTGCGTGTTCCTCGCTGTAGTGGCCCGCATTCATTCATTTTATTAATAATTGAATGTCCTTGATTCAAAACGTCTTTTGTGCGTCGACCTTTTCGAAATCGTTTTGAAATTTCATTTCAATGCCTTCTATGAAAAGTGCGTCAGCCGTCGGAAAGATTTTGAAACCATTTTTTGTGTCGTCGGCGTTTTTTGCTTCGCTTTTGTGTGTGCTGGTACGTTTTATGTTCGTTACTTTAAATCTGCTGAGGTTATTTGAAAAACTGGAACGGTTGGCGAGATCCGTTGTATTGCGATGTTGTTTTCATGCCGAATACATGCTCTGATTGGTAGTTCTTATGTGGAAAACTTTTGGGTTATGACGTAAATGGGACGAGTTATGTGCGTGTGCGTGTTTCGGAAGGTAGAGGAGAAAGCCTTCTGCTGCTACCCGCTCACCCTCCGTCGGTTTGGCCAGGACGCGTCGCGCTCTCCGACTAATAAATGTTATTGATCGCGGGTTTAAAGTATTGCAAGAAACGATAATTGACAACAGCCTCCACCACACCAACTATAAACAACTATTTTCTTGGTTGAAGTGGCAGCAGTGACGCGGGGCGCATGCTGATGTTGGGCTCTGAAGGTGAAAAGAGGGTTAACAGCAAGAAATTGTCTCAAAACGGGAACTAGTTCACACGCTGCCGAATATGTGCTATCTGTAAGTGGTGAAGAGAGTGCGAGAGAAAAAGAACAACTATGCAGTTGGCACTGGCTCGCACTCCTCGGAAAGACCTTGAGAGAGCGTTGATGTTCACGTGTGTGTTGGTCGCGCCAGACGATAAAAAACGAGATGAAACTATTGGGACTAGTGACGAGTCGATCGCATCTTACAAACCGCGGCGGCGCGGCCACGGAAAATAGAAAAAGTGAAGAATTTCGACAGGGAGTGATTGTGGAGAAATGAAGAAGTGGAAAGGGTACTGCATTCAGAGGGTTCTTTTTCTGGCCAGCTGAGCAAAGCATATCTGAATCTTTGACTTTATTTTCCGATTAATCCTTTTTCTGGGAAGTTTTCAATTGTTGAATGGCGGTTGATCAAATAAATTGCTAATTCAAATTGTTTGCTTAATTGGGTTTTGAGCTCTGATCCACCAGCCTGCCCTGCTTTCTGGATTAAGCAGTGCCATTAGAGAAAGAAAAATATTTTCTCTAAATACTGCTTCTTCAATTGCTTTCATTGGACGTTTTTTTTTTGTTCACAAAAGAAGTTCCCTCCCTTGACTTACTCTTTTTCTCCAGCGAGTAAAAGGTGGTTCTAAAACTTTGATCTTATGGTAGCGATTTTCATCTGGAACATTGTTCTGGGCGTTTTCTCATTACAGATTTTGAGGTTGAATGCAATATTTGGTGGCAGTCGAACAGTAATGGGTGTGGTATTTTTAAAATTAATGAGCCTTATTCTGCAAACCTCATTTACAATAAGCAGTAGTTTGACCTGCGCTTATTGTGATTGCCAATTGAGCGGAGTGTTTGTTAAATTTCATGTTGGAATTTACCCATTAT